TTACACTGATTCTCGGTGTAACTTAATTCAAAATGTACAAAGCTAAAGTTACTTTTGTTTCTTTTCACAGCATTAAACATCACAAGTTTATCATACACCAAAAAGAAGCCAACGTAACCAATGTCTGAGATATTTATTACTTATGCCACAGCCATTTAAAGATTTCACTCAATTTTTCTATTAGAAATGCTCTGATGGCACAGGAATCCTGACACATAAATTATGACAAACAGCTTCTCATCCATTTCCACAAAATCCAAGTCTCTTTCCTCAATCCCATCCATCACTAGCACCTAGCCCTTGTTTTCAAAATGTCTTTCCACTTCCTTTCCTCACCAATAATCACTGGCTCACAACCAAGTCAGATTCCCTCCTTATCAGCCCAGAATACCCACTCCCAGTGCTCACTTATTAATTTCATGGCAATTACATGCCTCTTCTTTCCATACCCAACTGCCTCCCCAGGCCTGCAAGAAATTCCATGAAAACATTCATGATTCTATTTCAGCACTCTCTCTTATCTCTGACATAGAAATAATGCTGGCATCCAAAGCAACACCACACTCATCGCCCCATGTGGGACTTAAGGTTTCAAAATTAATTTACAAAAACAAACAAACAAAAAAAAAAAACCCACAAAAACAGAGAAAAGTGACAGAAACATTTATACTGAAAACTTTAGAACCTTTGAGATGTATCAAAATGCAGTTTATTTCATAGAGTTGCAATATCATTCTAAAATAGAAGGACTGTATCTTTAGTTTACAAATATAATTAAATGAAATCCCTTTTCAATTTTTAGCAGCAGTAGACACATCTGGACTAGGTAAGAACTTTTTCTCTTCTTTCTTCTTTGTACAGAGTAAAATCCAATTTCTTCTCACTAATCTACAATATTCATGGATTTAAATATAGAATCCACACTTGTAGGTGTCTCATAATATTTTGAGGGAGATACTGTCCCTGTCCTTGAAGGCCAGAACTAATTTTGTGTTAAAATATTTTAAGTTCCCCTAGCTTATCCATTTCCCACTTCCAAACCCAAACACATCTATGCATTTCAATCAAGGAAAGGTCAAGATATCAAGCACAATATGACCCTCCCTCAAGATTCACAAATAGTTTGTGATAAATTTCATGTTATGACAATGCAAGTAAAAAAAAAAAAAAATAGAATCTATTAGTGACTTGGAAAGCTTCTTGCTACAAAAAATAAATCCAATCAAGAAACTGAAAACTATTCCAGACACCATATGCCTCTGTCCTGACATTACTGAAAGCACATTACAGAAAAAGCAAGTCGCATGTTGGAAGCTTTGTTTTCATTTCAAGTCTTCATGCAATTGTTTCTCAACCATAATTGCAATACAAGGTGTGGGGATTGTGGTTTGTGTAAATCCACACCCAGATTTCAAGTGGAAGCTCTCTCTTTCCAGCCTTGGTTGACGTTTTTGTACCTCTCATAAAAATTTGCTCTGACAAGAAATAAAACAAACAGTACTCCAATGGTAATATTGCTTCTGTAAGAATACTGTACCTCAAGTTGCATAATAAGATGACAAACCAGTGAAAGGAGAAAATAAAAAAAAAAAAAGAAAACATCATATTTGCAATTAAGACTTCTACTATAGTAAGCTATATGATTTCACACAGGAGATTCATCCAGCCTTGAGCAAAATACAGAGGGAAAAAAAAAAAACAGACACAATTATCAATAGTATTTTCTCTGGAACCAAAGATACAAAGACAACTCCATTCAAGTAAAGTGCCGTGACCTACAGCTTCCATCTTGCTTTCTCAGTGAAGATTGTGAAGTGACTATTTACCATGCCTCCTCATAGTTGCCCAATACTCTCTGGACTGCCTGGGAGCCCTTTCAGGGCTCCTGTGTCCAAAAGCTTCCTCCGAAAATCTTACCCAAGAACCAAACTGTGCCTCCAAATCCTGAGGGCACTCTGATGAAGTGTCCAAGAAGAAGGCTTCTGTGTCCTTCATTGCCAGAAGCAGGGCCTCTCACAGAAGGGGCAGCAAGCCCCCAGGAAAGCATCCCTATCCCCATTTTGTATCAGAAACCCCCAAGTGGGGCACACATTGTTCTACAGAAATTTCTAGCTCACTTGGGAATTCATGCATCAAGAAAAATGCTTCAACCAAAGGCAAGGAATAGTCCAAGAATTGAAGGCCTTATCACATTTTCCTTTCTACCTTCCTAGGTGTTAATGGATAGAAGTTACTCCATGTGTCATCTCTTCCACCTAAAAATTTTGCAGCAACAAAACCTGCCGTGTTCTCCTTTGCCCATTTCTCACAATGCACAACTCCAACAATGCAACTCCCCTGACCACACACACACTACACTGTAAAATTTGCACTCCTTGCAGCCTTGTTAAATCTCTTCCACACTCAGGCAGGGTTGTCCTGAAAGACCCTCATGCTTACTCTCACCTCAGTTACACAAAGCAAAACACTTTCTCAAACAACCAAGTACATTGGCTATAAGACTTCCTTAAATGAGAGCACAATTCAAAAGAGGAGTCACTGTTTAAACTGTGTTAGGTGTAAATTGTGCTGCCAGATTAAAATTCCAGGGTAGGCTTGTGAGAGGGAGTTCAGAACTCCCTCCCCCCACCCCCCCCAAAAAAACCCACACTGCCTCAAAACACCTGCAAGGATTTCAATCACTTTCCAGGAGCAAAGCAAGCAAGCAAAGCAAGAAACTGCCAAATTGCAACCAAAGACAAATCACAGAAACTATCTCTGTCCCACATTTCAGGCTCCCATACCCAAAAACCTTCTCTCAAGCAGTAGCTCCTCCCAACCAGCCCCCTCTGAGAGCATCGAGGCTCCTTTCCACCCAAAGAAAACGTGGTCCCCATCACCCCTCCCAGGACCCTGCTCCTTCCCCACAGATCTCAGCATCCACCCAACCCTGCTGTATCTGGTGCCTTTGCCAGGACTGCTCCCAGCAGAAAAGTACAGGAACACTCCAGCCAGGACCCCCAGAAAGCATTTCCCCATCTCTCTGCAAGCCCCAGAAGGGTCTCATCTCCTACCAGCTCAGCACACCTCCCAGCTGGGAACTACCACGCTGACTAACACTATCTATCTGACCTTGCTTTTTCTCTCTCTGCAGATTTCATCTCCAAATAGGAGAATGATTCTTTGCATTTTATTGGAAATCGCCCAAAGAAATTGTAAATTTTAAGAGTTTGTCACCAAGTTATTAATGCTTGAAATGTTCAAAGTACAAACAAATGGAAATATATATAATAATTTGCCTACTATATCCAGAATCTTACGGCAATGATGAAATTCAATCTACACAAACTCCCAGATTAAGCCAAGGAGTAGTTTCTATATCTTGTTAATTATAAGTAAAAATTTCCCTCAATTTTCAGTGCTGATGAAATTAATAGCTTTCATGCAGATAAATGAAGTGTACCTCTATGTCTATTTTAGTTTTCTTAAAGAGTGGCAAGTGCCTGAGAAGAAACTCAGCTAGAACAAAATCTTCACAGAAAAAAGAAAGGATTGCAGTTTTGATGTTCTTCAAATAGAAAAATATAATAACTGTGCTTCTTTTCCAAGATGACACTAGATAGCAGCTCTAAATATTTTCATCCACAATCTATTTATTATTCACTGTATTTTCTTTCCACAAACAGCCCAAGACTTTCCATTTCTGAGACTTCAAATTAAAGACTTTCATATGGCTAGCTTTAGTTAGGCAAAGTTCAAAAATAGTATGAATGCAGAACAGTATTAAGACTGTAAATCTAAATGTACATTAATTGCATCCAGTATGCAACAAAAAGCTTACCCACAATAATCAAGAAAATTAAGAGTAGGTCTTTATTAAAACACAGTCCGAACCAGGAAATTAGAACTGTATTGCTTCTTGTATCTCTGCTTACTACAGGAAAGGATCACAAGTGATTATTCGTTCAGATTTCTGTTTTGCTCTAAAGTAGGCCAGCCAGCTCAGCACTTTTCTTAAGATTATGAATACTTGTCTGCCCTACATATGGTTTAGGCTGAAACCAATCAGTTGAGCTGAAACATGTAGCAAAACCGACTATTTTCACATCATTCATTTTCAGCTATAATGAAGAAGTGCACACAACAGGTATGAAAGGATAAGATTTTAAATACTTTTAAATTTGCTTTGCCATTAGCACAGTTCACTAAGGAGCTCGCTATTTTCTCACTATTGGATCAACACTTCATCTAGATTAAAAAATAATTTGTTGTTCATTAATAACTCTTTGACCACTTGTTTTCTCTTCTAGTTTCCAGTTCATTTTTTACATTGATTACCTCATTTAGTAGGAAAACTGAATGCTGAACTGCATCCAGTAGACTTTTATACTACTAGGACATTCAAGATGCAAGCACAATCTGCAAGAAGCCTTACATCAAAACTTTAAAAATATATGAAACAAAATAATTCCTTGAATTTTTAACTGAAATACTTTTTTTTGCTCTTTCTCCCCCACCCAGGCCATCCTTGAGATTTTTGTTGTCATTTGGAGGAAAAGAGGTTAAATCATAGAAGATTGCTATCTTGCGTTCAAAACAGAAAATAGTAACATCTTCAAACAAATTGGGCTATTTGGAAGATCAGAACTGCAGAAAGTGCTTTGCTTAAATTGTTTTCAACTTATTTTTCTTGAAAGTTAGATAGTCTCATTTTCTAGAGCTGCTAAGCAGTCATAGTATCTATGAAGTAATTACCATCAAAATATAAGTAAATTATGGGAAAAAAACTTTCATATTTGGGTTTTCCTTTTCCATTTTAGATATAAACATTATCAAACCTTTAGTACAACATTTCTGTTAGATTAATGCCATTCAAAACTCTTGGCAGTTATCAGTAGCAAGGCAAAATCAAAAAAAAAAAGAAAAAAAAAAGGCTACAAAGCAAGTTCGTTTAAAACAAAGACAAGTATTTGTATTTAGTAGTCTGATGTTTGAGACAGTATTTTTGGGGAGAAGCATACCTCTCATCAGATGCAGAACCTTGGTGTCACATGGCAGTATAATCCAAATAGGTCTCAGCAGCATGTTCCGTAATATCCACAAGTTTCAGCATGGGGCTTTTCCACTTCCCCCAGGAGACCATTAACCATTACTATGAATCCAAACAGCTAAGATGTTAGGCATCTGTATGGTCCAGTTTGAATCATGTCAAGCAGCCCAGAGGAATCCCAAGCTCTATTCCACCATTCGAAGAGTAATGCAATATGGCACCCATCACCGACTGATGTTCTGGCAGCCATCCCATTTTCCCAACAATCATGTTGTGACCTGTTCAAATTTGAGGAAGAAGTGTTAGTTCAGCACAGTAACTCCGCCACACCACTCGGGGACTAACATACAAATATAAAGTTACATTCTTCTGAATAATTTCAAACACAAATTTCTTCACAGATTTAGACACATCCTAAACTCAAAGCCTGGGGATGACATTTTGCTTTAAAAATATTGTGGGGCTGAAGTGTAATAGAAGAAGGTTTAAGAAAAAGGCTTAGAGTCTTTTTCTGCAGAGTCTTACCTTCCAGAAAGCACTGAAGTGACAGGGAAAAAAGATAACATAAAGGCTCTCCAACTGCCCTGGCAGGTATTTAAAAACTAATGAAGAGAGTAAGTCAATTTAAAAAAAAACCCAAGTAGAAAAAATAAAACTCATCAACCCTTTTGAGGGAAACATATGTGATCTTCTCTGGCTCCTTAGCCCTGTTGAAGTGTCTCCCCACAGCACCTCCACCAGCAGATGTGCTACTTCAGTTGGGACCTAAACTATGAGCACCACTTACGGCATTTGGCCCTGTAAGAAGCCAAAGTGGCCAAATTCACATCAGTCTTCTCTGGTAGCCCTTCTCTGCAACACCTTCAGGGGTGCAAAAAGCAAATTTTACTTAGGTTGGGAAGGGAACTATAAGGAATGGAGAGAAAAGTCTGAGTACTCTGCACAGGATGGAACAATGACATGAAGAACAACATTGGGTCTGCCAAGATGGAGTGGGAGAAAGGGAAAAGAACAAACTTCTACACTAAGGACAATGGAGAGGAACTAGAAGAAGCTTTTAGGGACTGGAAGATGCATGTACATAGAGACAAAGATGAGAAGAAAAGAGAAAGTGAACATTTGTGAACACGAATTACTTCTAGCTCTGTCTGCATAACTGGGTAACATGGATATAGGGCAGCCCACAGAAGAATAAGTTTAGGAGAGAACAAGAAGAAGTTTTATGTTTGCTCCACATCAGGAGAAACAAGCGTTTCTACGCATGGAGGAAAGGAAAGCTCCCGGCAAAAGGAGTTTTTCATGAGAAAGCCAAGCATAAAGGCAGAAGAGTAGGTGGGAAGAGATTAAGGAGGAGGAGAATGAATAACTAAAAAGTAAAAAGTAAAAAGTAAGATGTAGACTTCAGAAATTCTGAAATAGGTAGATCTAAGAAGAGAGAGGGACAATTAGGAAAATGGGACAAGAAAGCACAAGAAAGTAGAGGATTAGGATGAAAAAATATAAAAATTGATGGTTATTACATATCACAGAAAAAGAGAATGGGGAAATAATAAGGTACTAAATTGATCAAGACAATTAAGAAAAGTACAAAGAGCTTACAAGTAAGTTTTCTGGAGTTGCGATGCTTGCTCTAGAAAGCGTGAAACCAAAGGAATGGAACAAAACCCAAGGCAACTATCGTGTTTCCAAAGGGACGAAGGGAATTGCACTGAAGCCCAGCCGAGGAAGGGCCAGCCTGGGCTGACCCTTCCCACTCTCCCCTTTGCTACGATCAACGCAGTCGGAAGAACAAAGTCCTCCCTCTGGTCCGTCCCTCTTCACCAAAAATTGTCTCTCGGCACTGCTGCGCACCTTGGCTCCTTGGGATGGTCCCACAGGAGCAACGTGTTACCCTCTGTGGTGTCACGGGCCCCGCGACCCAAGCTGGCACACGGCGGAGCACCCACCTTGCCCCTGCTGCTGTGCGCTGCCCTGCCCTGCCCAGTCCCGCGGCCCTCACCAGCCCCCCACTCCCTGGCCAGGGCCGCCAGGACTCCCCACAATCCCATCAAGTTTTCCCGTCTTCGGCTTTTCTCTGTCCCAACTCTTAAAAATACAGCCCGATCCAGAAAGCCCTCCGATCCACTTCCCTCCCCATCAAAAAAAAAAAAAAGAAAAAAAAAGAAAATAAAAGAAAAAAAAAAAAAAAAAAAAAAAGAAAAGTTAAATCTCTAAAATAAGGCAGGCACTAGAAGGAGGAGAGCCGGCAAGCCCCCCCCACGCTCCCCCCCCTCCCGCCCCGATTAATGTCCCCCAGCCCGCATTACGGGAGTTTGGACGGAATGACTGCCCTACCCTCCCCAAAAATACCTGCATGTGCTCCCAAAAGTACAAAGGAAAGGCTGGCCCGCAGACGCCTCCGTTGCGCTCCCAGACCCGGGCGCGGATGGCAGGGTGGAGGGGGGAGCGACGAGGGAGCCGGGAAAGAACAATAACCCCAAGTCCAAACGTACCTTCTCCTTTCTCTAAACTGTGAAACCAGATTTCCTTAGAAGTCTACGGCGGGGCTCTTTGCTTTTAAGCGGCAGGAGAGCTCGAAGAAAGTTGAGCAAATCTCTTCCGATAAAGTTGCCGAAGATGAGTTTACCCGGGAGAGGCGAGGAAGAGATGGAGAGTTCATCCGAGTTTCTCCTTTTGTTCAAGTTGCCCGAGCAGACAAAGAGCCGGCAGCGGCGGCAGGTCCCCCGCGCCCCTGCTCCCCCCGCGGTCCGGGCGCCGCCGGGGTCCCGTACTGCCCTCGCCCCCCGCCTCCTCCCACCACCGCAACTTTCCGTCTGCTCCATCCCTCCTCAGCCCCGATCCCGGCTCCGGCGCAAAACTTCCCTCGAACTGAACCTCCCAGAAAAAGAAAACAATTTAATTCAAGGCGGGGGAGTGGGGGGTTGGAAAGGGAGAGAACCATCTCTCAAATCATTATTTCCGGTAGATGCACCTCTTTGTTTGGATTCCCCCGACTGTCAGTGAGGACAAGCCTCTGGGGATCTGCTTTCGGACAGTTTGATCTGCCGGAATGAGGCGGGCAAACGCAGGACATAAAGAAAAATAACTTTAAAAGAAAGAAAAGGAGGGGAGAAAAGTAAATAGAAAACAATATAAAACTCCGGAGTTGCGAAACGAACCCGTTTTTCATGGACACGGGAAGTACATAAATAAGCAACTGAAGGGGAATTTCGGATAACTGTTGGCTCTCCTTCCCTTCCCCTTCGCACTTTTCCAGAGAACGTAACAAAAAAAGCCCCCCGAAACCTCCTGGCCGCGACTCCGTGCCGCCGCCGCCAGCTCCTGGCATCCCTACCTGTTGCGTAAAGCGCAAAGATGGGGCCGACCGCATCCGTCCCAAAGAAACCCAAAGGGAAGGAGGGGACCTCCCGCACCCCACGACCCCTCCACCTGCCCTGCGGCAGCCCCCACGGGGACAGCCGGCACGGACGTCGCTGGCAGCCCCGGCGCGGCCCCGGCGGAACGCGCGGCCGGCCCGGCCCCGCTCCGCCGGCGGCCGTCGGGGCGCCCGGCTCCCCGACCCAAGTTTGGCCAGGCGGGGCCGGGGTGCTCCGAGACAAAAGGAGCGCGGAGCAGCGCTGCAACTCACCTTGGAGGGAGAGAGTGAGGCTGAAGAGACACCTTCCGCCTCAGCCCTCCTCCTCCTCCTCCCCACCCCCTGGCCCTGTGGCGACGGCGGGGCCGTGGGACAGGCTCATGCTGGGGACCGGGGCGATCAACCCGCTAGCCCCGCCAAGGGTCCGCTCCCTGGCGCTAAACAAAAACGGGGGGGAGCAGCCCTGCCGCCCCCGCCTCTCCTGCCCCCGATGTCCCTAACTTTTTAGTGCCCACCTAGCATCCCAGCGAGCCGGCCCCGCGCTCGGGAAGGACGGGGAAGCGCGGCGGTGCGCCCGGAGCGGGACCCCCACGTCGGGGCAGCGGGCCCGGGGCTGTCAGCAGGGCGGGAGCGCTGCCGGGAGGTGTCGCCTGGGGGGGGGGCCAGGACGCGGACCCGATGCTCATTGTCTGACCGAGGGTGTGCCCGTGGCGCGGCGGCGTGGAGGGTGCGTGGGCGCCCACAGCACACGCGGCGGTCTTGTGAGTTTGTGCATTCCCTGTGAACAGTGGACATGGATGCCAGAGGCTCCAGCCCTCAGGACCTTGCCTACCAGGGCTGAAAGATGTGCCCAGTGCTGTTTACTTATTTTCTTTTCTCTTTTTGATTTGTTTGTTTGTTTTTGTGTTGATTCGGTTAGGAGATTTTGTTGTTGTTGTTGTTGTTGTTTGGTTGGTTTGAGGATTTTTTGCCCTAGAAGCAAGCAGAACCTTGAAAAACTTACTAGGAAATGGTAGTTAATAGCAGCCCACACCCTATATGGTAGGGTTAGTTTTTCAAAGTCAGATAACAGGGTGATCTTGAGATGAGGAAATTTTTTTTGGAAGAAAGAAGGGGCACACTATTTAGGCTTTGGTTAAGTTGTCCTGTTGACAATCTCTACAGTCCCTGCTCACATGTAACTCCTCCTATTTTCCTTCAGTTCATGTTCATTTCATGCCAACAACCCCCAACTTGTCCTTCATCCAGTTCCTTTCCCCCTCCCGATCTTGCCTAGCTTTGAGACTTATTCAGACCATTTCCTTCTACTCGATGTCAGCCACAATATTTTGTTCTTTAAAATATTTTGCAACTCCCTACTCAGAATCAACCTTTTTATCCTCATGCCCCAAACTGCCCCCAACTCTTCCATTGCTGCCATGATTTATGTTGCTCTCGAGCATTTTCTTCCTACATTCTGCTGCAATGTACATTGCTGTTGGTTTTCATTACAGATTTCTGTGATTAAATGATAATGCATATAGTGTAATGCCTGGCATGAGAAGTGCAGCCTTGTCATCATTCTTTACCATTCGCCTTCTTCAGCTCTTCTGCATTGAGTGCTCTGGAGCAAGTATCCTCTTAATTTCCTCTTAAATTATTTTCTATGCACTGTTTCTCCCTTCCATCAATTTCTGACTTTTCACAGATTTTTGTTCTCTCCATCTACACTATTTCCATGGCTGTTTTGTCCATGTTTCTCTTTCCACCTCTGCACTTTTGTTTCCTTAATCTTTTGGTTTTATGGTGAAAGCGGAATGTTGACTGCACCTTTCCTTACTTCCAACCCTATTTTCTCTGGTTTTCACATACACTCTCTTAGCAGGGCACAGTGAAGTCCAGCAGACACGTACTCCTCTGCTAACACATATATATTTTTTGCTGTGTTTCTTTCCCAGATGATTCCCAAATCCTCATTGTTTGGACAGTAGACCACTGCCCTGTTGTTTGCTGGTTGTGTATTGTGGCACAACCAGCAAACATCTTACAAAGGGCTGCTCTTGGTGGCTTTCTTTGGAAAAACACAAATTGTACAAGCAGCTCCTTGTGTCATGGTATTTTGGCTTTGGCAGACATCAATGACATGTTGCATAAAGGTATATCTTGCTGAGAATTTGTGAAGATATTGACCCCATGGTCTGCCAGCTGGGTTGGAGTTTGTGGGGCAGGTTATTATGATCATCCATGTGCCCTTTTCTTCCCTTAGAAGCAGGAGGCCAAAAGCTTCTAAAAAGATTTCATATATTGTTAACTCTCTGATACTGGTGCTATTTAAACAAAGTATGTGTCTACCTTATTAATTCATTATGAGTGAAAAAGGTTACTAATCCTTGGATCAGAGGTGACCATATTATGGTCCCATAATCATGGATCATATTCAGTACACATAAAGAGAGTGTATCTTGCAAAGAGCTGACTGGGTAAGGATGAGAAAAATAGAAAATTTGTTTGAAAGTCTAAAAATGTTAGAAACATTTCAATAAAAGCTTTTGTGTCTTATAGAAGGGCTTATTTGATGGGTAAGTGGCCATCTGCCATCGAGACAGTAAAATTTCATTGAAATTCCCTCGTGGTTCATTGGGCAGGTAAAGAGAAGCATTAAGTAGTAAAAAGGAATACATAAGAGGCAATTAAAAAAGGAGTAGTTTATGATAATTAACATGAAGTACAAATTATATAATGTAGAACACTATTTGGAAAAGTGCAAAGTAAAAATATTACACAAAAATCCACATCTTCAATAGATGAAATTAAAATAATTTTACAGTAAGTGGGGAATGAAGCATCTCCTAATAATGTTCATAGGCCTTTCAGTTCTAATTATGAGAAAAATATTCTACTAATGATACCTGTGTTCTGTAAAGTAGGAAGATAAATATTGCACACAGAAAGTAACTTATTTTTTGGTCTTTGGGCAGCACCTATCTCCAATAAAGATTGAATCTTTATCCCCAGATGCCTTGCACCCTAACATCGGAAAGTACTTGGCACTTTATGTCACAGTGATGTTCAGTTTAATAAATCCTGGAATGCCATGGAAATTATGGGAATCTATTGCCAGTGTTGTGCCAATATGAAAAAGGGGCAAACAGAAAGACACAGACTACAATACTCCATTTTGCCTCACATTCACCCCTTAAAAAATAGTGGAAAACCTGACATTGGATTACACTCAAGGAGAAATAAGGATAAGAATAATGATTCTAAAGCACTGTTCCTTTATCTTTAATTCCTTTTTTGCCTTTGTATTTAAATTTTACTGTGGATGTAGGATGGGTTGGAATACAGATCTAGTGACAGCTCCCTATGCTGACTCATCTGGCTTCAAGAAAGTCACAAGAGTGAAGAAATTTCCCATAGAGTGACAATATTCAAACATTCCCAAATGGCAGTGACCTAGTCTCTTCTGGCTGTCAAATAAAAGGAACAGCTGACCTATACTGCCTGTGTTTATGTTTTAAATATTTTATTCCCTCACTGCATAGCCACATTTTTCTTCATTCTTCCATCTATCTGATTTCTTTATGTCTCCATATGACTTTTACTCTGCTTCCCAAGCCTTCTCAAGGAAAAGTTTCATCAAAATTAACTCTAGCCTCTAGCACAATTTCAGGACTTTTAAGATCACAAAAGTTCATCATATCATCATATAAAAGGTCAAACCTTTTTCCTTGGCAAACTAGACAGAAAACATAATCCAGTTTCTTCTGCTTTTATCCTGGTTGTCCACATTCCAGAAAGGTGTTCCATTTTGCTAAAACATTGTGTGTTACACACCACTTCACTTGAGAACACCACTTCTCTTGAGAACAAAGCCAACTATAACCCTAGCTGTTAAAAAAAAAAAGAAAACCACAAAAAAACCACAAGGGTTGGACTTCATTTTAAATCAAAATTTGTTTGGCTTTAGTTTCTAGTTACTTTTTAAATTTATTTTATGTCTCACCGCTACATCAAATTAGTGTACAGCTAATTTTATAAATGGGGGCCTGAAAGCAGGACTGGCTGCACAGGACAGGAAACCTTCATTGCAGAGATAATGTACTTACAGGATTGTTTTAATCTCTTTGAAGGATTACTTACATTAACTTGTTGAGGTTCCACTACATTTACCAAGAAAACATGCAATTGTTTGAAGTTCACCAGCTGAGTGGGCTTCTGGGTCTGTAACACTCATTCAATATTTGGTTGCCACACGAGGGGCAATGGCCATTTAGAAGCACACGTCAGTGCCACAACAGATGCAAAGACTGGAACACCCAAGCCCTCCATTTCGTGTAGCTGCTGTAAGCACCTACCATGCAGATCGAAACAAAGAGCAGCCCAGCCTGCAGCAGGGACCTGGGTGATGATCATGTCTCATTCCCATTACCACAGAGTGCCGCAGAAGAGGAGGGCTGGTTTCACTTCTTTCTATTTGAATAGATCAGTATTAAACTCACAGAACTCATAGAAATGTTAGCGTATATCAGCTACAGTAGCTGTCTTTGCTTTCACTGTGAGAAGAAAAAACTGCACAAAAAGTTCACTGGTGCTTTATCCTCCTTCCCTGAGAAGTGAGCTACCACTCATCCTCCAGGAGCGCCTAAAATTCTGACTTCACTGTGAGCTTCTGGATGTTGACATGTGTAGGAAGATAAGCAGTACAGTAGATGATCAGCAAAATGTGGTCTTTTAGGGGATAATTCAGAGGATCTGCTGACCTCCCAGCAAATTTTTTTGCTTCTCATTTTATTTTTCTATATGCAGAGGCTGATTTCACAACTAGTCTCTTTTGTACAAGTGTGAATACAATCAATAGGTAAATCCACTCCTGTGAATTTAAAGACCATGAAAGACAAACCTGCAAATGAAAGAATTGTTTTGGCATGAACATATGCTTCTCTCTAGACACAGACCCAGAAAATTCATAGAATGTTTCTTTTTTGGGAAGAAGGAAGAACTCAAAACAAAAACAAAACCCCAAGCCAAACGATATTATTCCAAAAGGGTAGAAAACCATGAGCTTTCCAGCTCTTTTTTAAAAATCACT